TTGCGCGTTAATAATTAGAAAACGGTGAATACGCATTGCGCTTTTCGTCAATTATTCACTCGATTCGTGTATCAACCACGCACTCAGTCCGTAAACGACGATAATGAGACGACACACGGAGCGAAATACACCGCTACCTGCCCGCCCGAGCTTCAATGTGCGACTGATAGCAGCGGTGACCTTGCGACCGTTACAGCGCGCTATACGTTGTAAAAACTATCCAAGCCGCACGCCCCTCAATTGTACGTTGCCGTTTTGAAATGTTATACATCGTAGGACAAAAATACGACAAACATTTTGCCTTTGCAACGTTTGCGCGTTAATAATTAGAAGACGGTGAATGCGCATTGCGACTTTTCGTCACTTATTCACTCGATTCGGCGATTCGTGTATCAACCGCGCTCTCAGTTCGTAAACGGTGACACAAATTACTCGAATCGACGAAAAATGTGAAGCGCGACAAGAGATACATTCGGATTAAAGAAATAATAACTTTGTTAATACGTACTGTATGGACAATAATTTGTAAGTCCCTATTCTTAATTCGACTGAAAATTGATCACGAAATATCTACTGAAATGATAAATAAGCGTCATCTCGAAACCATTTCTTAGGAATTAATTATCTGCGTGAATTACTAATCACTAATTGCCCCGAGAGTAATTAATTTTGATGAATAAGCATTAAATCTAACATTTGAATATAATAACATTTTGCCCTGCTTTGGTGAGAAAGAACATATGTAATTTAATTCGTTATTATTGCTTTTTTTCAAATTGTCATGTACCGAGAAGAATAAAATTCGCTACGTGTATACGTGTGTGATTTTGATAAATCAAGAAAATTAAATTAATTTGCTACAAAAACATGGTCCAGTTTTATGATTCATTAAAGTTACACAATAACAGTTTCATAATTTTTGAGATATATTATGTATATAAATAACAAATATATATATATAGTGATAATGAATTAATTGCCATTTCCCGATAAAAACAAAGACAAATTTTATTCTTCAAATTTATATTTATATTCCATGTGATAATTCTTTCAATCAAATGACGAAATCAGTTGAGCTCTCAATATTATGTAAAAATTACTAAAATATACTCTGTATCTATGATCTACAAACCATTTGAATATACTATACTTGAAACGCATTATAAAACAGATAAATCAATAAAATGTGAAGACATTTTTATTCTCATTTAATTTTTTTTTCATTTTGCAAGGAGCATTCATTGGTATATTTTCTTTTTATTTCTGCAACTTCTTTTTCTGCTTTTCCACGCGGCAAAATGTCCATATTTTTTTTCAGTCATACGCTTTCCCAAAAATGTAATCTTCCAAATGTATAAAATTTATGCTGTTCGTTATTAATGTCGGAACTTTATGGAAATTCATATTTTGAAATGATTGTGTAAAGAAAATTTTTGAAAAATTATAAGCCACGCCTTTTAATTTGAATCAACAATTTTTGTTAACTTTATTAATATATTTTATTTTTAATCTTTTTGCAGTGTGAATATATATTTTCGAAAATGTTTAACTTTGTAAAGTTTCACGATGTATTATACACAAAGGGCAAGTTATCATTTAAAATAATTAAACGATTTGATGTGTTATTAGAATTTCTCTACTTTTAGAATAATTATGTTTTCATAATAAAAATTACGAAGGAGGATATTAATCTTATTATTACCGTATCAGCTGTTTTACGAAAATCTGGTCTGTCTGTTTTACTAAAGAAAGAGAGAGAGAAGGAGAGAACTAATATAATAACTGTACTTGCACAGAAACGTAAATGCGCTTTATTTTAAATGCGCCGGAAATGTATCGCGCAAGCGTGTATTACCTAGCTTGTTATATTCATCGCCTCTTTCCTTTATATAGTATATTGCTTGCCTCGGAATCGCGAATTCTAGAACTAACACGGGTTTCCACGTGCAGAAATATTAAAGTCCTAAGCCTGTACCGGCAGCGCAGTTTACTAATTGCGAGAAAGGGTTGTGCAAAATAGCTCTATAAAATGCACTTGTGAGGAAGTTCTTAAGATAAGAGCCAACGATATTAAAAGGTGTCAAAAGAGTTTTTTTTAATCATTATATAACGCCCTGTTGAAAAGTTAAAATTGATTTCATTCTAATCGGCTTAATTTAGTATCCAATTCGGTTTAATAAACGTCCGACAAAAGTGGAGTGCCATGCTCTTTCTCATTTTATTTGTTCATTCATAACACTAGTAAACATAATTGTTTTCTAATAATTATCTTTTCTTACTAGCCCATTGTTGTGTTGGCGCCCACATGCCTATATCCTATTTCCTTCTAACGGTATCTTTCACGAAGATTTGTGGATAGTTGACTCGTGTACTGATCCCGCCAGCATTGTTTGCCGGCTATGGGTCTTTTCCAAGATCCTTTACAGGTATATAACCAGAGAGGCGAGCAGAAACGTAGAAAGATAGACTGCGACAAGTCCCAGTACGGCGAGACTCGACAATGGGCCCAGAATGACGAGAATTCTGGAGGGGTGACCGCGTATAATCGACAGGTAATAAAACACACTCTAGACACGTCGGAAGATCGCCCGATCGTTCCTATTCTTGTTTTCCTTATTTTTCTCGGCAGGTGAGAAAAGGCGATCTTCTGGCGACAGAGGGAGCAGATCAGGACAAGAGATCTCGAGTATTGTACCTCGTAGATTACAAGCTCCGTTTCATTCCCTCAGCGGTTTACTCGCGTCCTCGAAACGGGATGGAGAATTGTGTGCGAGGCAGAGAAACTCTCGTAAAGATACGAGAAGGACGCGAGAAAAATATTCAAGAATTATGGAATGTACGCGAACTTTTGAAAGGGAAATAGTTGCTCTTTTCGTGGGAAAATGAGAATAAAGTGGAAACAGTGATTTTAGCGATCAAAAGACTTCTCTTTGCGTGATTTGTCGAATCTCCCGTTGATGGGCGTCGTCGTTATATTTTTCAGTAATATTTCGTTAAAAACGTAAAAGTTTTTTCCCGCGGGATTTAATTAAGCCAAATGTGCGGTTAAAAATCCGTTATAATGTTCATTTCGATACAATATATATATATATATGAGAATATATGCACGTGCTGGGAGATAATTAATAATAACACCTGCACAATATTTGAATGGGAATAAAACATGTTTATCGATAGTTAAAAAATTAGAGTGGAAGTTGCGTTCAAAACATTTAACGAGCTCCGTGAATAAATCCGTGAACCATAAATGGGTGCATCGCATACCCCGATAAATCCCCTGGCTCTGAAACTCGCGAACGCCAAAAATACGACCGAGTATATGGCCGTTGCTTTCCTTACTTTAGTTCTGCGCTCTCTTCTGAGTTCTTTCGAGACGCTGTTGAAGAAGCGCGGAAGCTCCTCGTTTGTATTGTACGCAATGCAGCTCGCGCTCGTAAGTCTCGAGCAAAGTTTCTGCTATATCAAACAAGGATGCCCCAAAATTCGCGGAACACCGTAGAAAAGCCGTCCTTTGTCGAGCGGCAGATCCGTTGACAGCGATGCCTCGATAGTTCTCAATTGATTTCTACCCCAGAAGTGCCATCGCGTTACAAACAACTGTCGTGTTCCCTCAATTTGTATATTTTAATCAATAACACGTAAGAGTCTGTTAGATTTCCGATAGTTGTATATTTATATCCCTGTAATATTATAATATTTAATTGCCGGTGACATTACTTATGTATTTAGAGAAAACAGCGTTACTGATGTAATGATTTGACCCCTTCTAGAAGTTTGGGCGCCGCTAAATTAATATATAGCGGCGAAAATACATGTACATACAACGTGTACCGAAATCCGAGAACACACACACATATCAAGTACCAAGTCACGAACCGTCGGGCCTCATTCGGTTGTCTAGATTGTATTTAAAATCGCGGTCTAAAATTAAGATATTCTGACATATATTATTGATCCCGGAACAACTGTGGAAGAAATTTATTCGACGAACTATTAAAAAAAAAGATTCCGTAAATGTTATATTCACACGTTAAATATTCATCTATTAATTATCTATTAAAATAGTTCCTATTTTTCACTACTTTTAATTATATTTGGACATGTGCAATTGGCTCAGATAATTTTAAATCATTAAGGAAAATATTACGTTGTCTCCCGCAAATGATATTCTAATATTGTATTTCTTATTCGCGGATATAATAAATAAAAACTTATTTACTAATATCTATATTTAGCAGTTCACATCTTTTTTTTATCTAACTCTAAATCAATGCGAATATAAACCACTTCCCCAAAATGATGGAGAAAAGAAATTTGTGATCGTAATGTCAACTATGTGTCATTATAAACTTAAAAGTTAATTTTGTAGATTCAATCTCGTCGGTAACGTTTGTAAACCCCGAGGAATGGTGATCTTAGACACATGCAGACGAGGCAAAATCTATGGATCTCGTAAAATTAACCGCAGCCAATATAGTTCTATATCTCAAGGCGCTCCGAAAAGCCTGGAAACCGACATTGGTCGACTCGCGTGCACCGGCTGACCTCGTTCCCCTTCAGCCCCCAGACGGGGAGGGGGTGAGTCACGTGGCCACGTCGTTAATTTCGCCGTTCTTGGACTGTAGAGGACGAGGGTGGTGCGCGCAGCGAAAGGACACGAAGACTCCTCTAGCTCTCAGAGACCGCATTCAAAAGTTCGGCCACTCAAAGGGAAATGAGAAAGATATAGCGGCCATCGGCAGATTAAAGTGATGCTCGTGGCCTTTGATCTCCCTCGCGAAACAAGCAAGAGTCTAGGCATAAAATACATCTGGGTCCCAGGAGATCCGACCTGGTTTCCCGTCGTCTCTCAAGTGATCGGAGAAAAAAAGGGAACAATTTTGAAAAAAAGCAACGGGAGACTTAAGTAGCCAAGAGAGGTCTCTTTCTGTTGCTGACCGAGGAACAATCGTGGTCTATGCGGGTGCACCGAGTCGTGCGATAAAATATTGAGTACTCACGAAGACGAAATAGGATTTCTTCATGGTCCTGACAATCTCGTTAAGAAGACTCGTCGACGATGGATCCCTCCTTTCTCACTTGTTAACCGATGTATGGCAACTCCTTGTGCTCACTGCAAGGCTGTTGTCAGAGATCGTCGAGTTCCCACCACGTGCAACTTTCAACCCCTGACGAAGGGCGCATCGAGGAACCCGTCAGGCGTCGACCGCGAGGCAAATTACGATTCTTCTCCTTTCTCACTTACGAATATTTATTTCAACACTTCACCCTCCTGCCCGTCGCGATGTGCACATAACGATCGTCGCGCGTAGCACGTGTCGCGAGCGATTCGCGATGCGCGGTTCAACGACGAACGTGACGAACATCCACAGAGTGGAAACGATGTTAAGACGTAATCTCGGCGAAAATGTTTCGATCGCGATTGTCGAGAGCTCGCGTGGTCTACGGAAACTGCGGACCCCTTCGTTCTGGAGGTGCCTGATCGCGGAACACCTCAACCGCACGTGTGTCCCTGCGTTACCGCTCGATGTCGTCGGGCCGAGGTGCGCGACGCGAGTGTCGGCCTTAAGTCTCGAAAGCGCTTGACGTTGGCGCCCGTGCGGCGTGGTACAAGGTGGGGGATGCAGAGGGGAGATGATCGCCCACCCCTCCCGTCCCTGTTCTCCCACCCTATCTCGACCACCCACGCCACCCCCGTGGAGAACGCCACACTCAACTCCCACGGTTCCGCCGCATCCCACCGCGCTCGCCTCTGTGCACCCATCGACCCCGCGACCACCCACTTCACGTCGGGGTGAGAGTGGAATAAAGTGCCGCCCGGAGGGATGGTAAGGCCGCGCGACGACGCAAAGGAGGCGCGAGGGGTGGAAGAGGAGGAAGAGAAAGGTGGAGGAACGGTGTGCGAAGGGGTGAAAGACGGAGACTAAGAGAGAAAGTATAATCCGCCAAGTTGCAACGATCAAACAAGCGTCGAATTTTTTTTATGCGCTTAGCTATCCTTTTTTTATCTCTTGACTCTGATTTGTGGTTTTTTGTCTCTTCCTTCAAGGGGTGACAGACAGATAGGATAATTGTGGTGCAATCGAATGATAATCGCGCGCAGTCTTTACGGTTACGAGCAATGTTTCCTGGCTATGATGTTTCGTATCCCGCTCTGCGGGAATCGCGGCGTGGCCTCTGAGACCATCCGTCATTCTAGGCGTAATTTGATTTATGTCTGTCGTGGTCTGCGAACCATGTTTCTTTCACGATTTTACTGTCTAACTATTAGCAGCGCAGTGTGTTCGAGGCTTCTATAATTATATCAAATAAGTTTCACTATTTTAGACAAAAACAAGAAAATAATATTGTTATATTTTTAAAAAAGTCTGACATTAATATTATATTTTACTAACGTATATTTATGTTTTAAATGTCAAGTGTGCATATTATTATATGTTAGCGATATGATACGATTTTTATATTTTTTAAAATCTAAGATATCGTCTTGATAAATTACATTTTTAACCAATATTATATCATGGTTTTGCGACGTTACAAACCGAATCCGAGTAAGTCTTGTGTTTTCATATATTTTTAATAGATTTAGCCCTGCTGTTATAAATTTTGTTTCAAATGTTAAAATGATCAAACGTAAAGGGAATAAAAATTATGAGCCTTAAAGGCTCATCATCGATACCCGTTTCATACGTTTCACTTTACACGCATTCCTATGTATTGTAATTAATAACAGCCTTTTATACCGCCCGCTTTTATAATAATGAAACCTCAAAGCGCAGCAATATTCCAAACTCGTCTCGTATAACAACGTTCGGGGACGACATTGCGAGTGCTATACGTTACTAATATGCAAAACGGGCAGAATATGAAAATTGGGAATGTTATGACGTCAGAAGGCTCGCGTTGCGATTTGGCGAAATCACCCCGCGGTCATTGCGGTTGGACCTTAAGTCCACTTTATGTGCACGCGTGTACATTCCAAAACCAGCAAGAGGAGGGTTAACTTATCTCGAGGATTGGTTCTAGCCGCTGTGTACACCGCACGGATCCTCCCCCGTAATTAATTCTTATTAAATAGCTCTGGGCTTCCAGAAAAAATGGTACAAGTGAGGAATAGAGAAGTTAAACAAAGTGAAGACAAGAAAAACGTAAAATTCCCGTTTTACTTTGCAATTTACCTATATGTCTCTCGCAAGTAAATTAAATTGAAATAAACTCACTTTTTTTCCCTCGCGAGCAACGGATCTTACGTATTCTCAATGTATGAAATCTGCCTACAGCATATATAACTTGTACTATTTACTTTTAAACATTTTTGTGATGAAATATATTGAAAATTGTTTTATATAAACGTATGACGGAATACACATATGCAAAGAGACAAGAACAAATATTATACAACGTTGAAAATGCTCCTCGACAGGTTTGCTCCTCGTCAGTTTTATAAAGTGTCCATAGCGGAAAATAATGTTATTTTATTTCATATGTGTGCTGTTTATATTCTAGGTCCTTTACCCTCCTTTCCCTGTTTTGAAACGTAAAACTGCTGTACACGAAATTTTATCCACTAACAGGTAGATAAAAACAGGTTGACCAGAGAGCGGGATAGTCAATACATTGAAAATATTTGAATTTGGTGAAAATGTAACAGATATTTTAAACCTTTTTTTTACTTGCCATTTTAGTGAAAAATTGCGGTAAGAATAAACGAGTTATACTAACTATAAAATTGCAATCAATTTTGTATATATTTTATATGTATTTTGCATTCCCGAGGTTTATACAATAAATTTAAATTGTTTATGTATCCTAGTTTTTCACACGATTGCATAAAACATTCGCCTATTGAGCTAAAATAATTTATAAATAACATTTAATTTATATAAATGTTACGTATATTTTTATTAATAAAATAATTACTTCAATTAATATGTGGACATTTAAAGTTTAAGCAATTGCATAATATATAGTCGTTTTTAAACTTGTATACTCGAGAGCAAGATTTTTTTAATAATTTCCCCCATTCAGCAATATGAATTCGTGATAACAAAACTCTCTCTGATACATTATAAGTGTACCAATTTCTCGATAAACATTTCTTTCACAGGGAATACGTTTATTACTTGATAATCAATGGTGCAACCACAAAATTTTATCGCGATTGAAGACACGTAAGCGTAGCTGATTATCGTATTAGGGAAAATGCCCGATGAAATAAATATGATATTTCGAGGCACACGAATTCTCCCGATTTTCCGAGAGGATTTTATCCTCAGTCTGATAGCGAATGGATTCGTGTCACGGGGACGGGATTTATCGACGCTGAAAATTCACCGCCGCACTACAACTAACGACAATTATCCGAAAAGTTGCCAACATGTCAAAAATGAGCAACACAAGGGATTGTTATCGCGTTGCGTGCTACGTACTGCATGTTTGATGAACGTTAATCGAAATGCTGAATCGAATGTGTATACCCAATCTATCAGTGTATACGTAGTCGGTCAATACGTCCTACAAAGCGAATAATCTTTTGTTAAGATATATTTCAATCGGTCTATTTTAACATAAATAACAAAACGACACTAAAAATATAAAAGCAAGTTTTGTTTTAATATCGTAGAATTTTAATGTCATAGAATTAAATGACAATAAATTATTTTCTAGCTTCTTCAAAAAATTCCTCTCTTCCCATCTATTGTTGCAGAGCAATATAAACTTTATTATAAAAGAATTATAAATAAAACAAAAGTGTTTAAAATAAGCGCTATACACATACATTGATTGTATAGCGTTTTCTCAAAAACCAAATACTGTAAGTAAAAACGTATTCTGTAAAGACTGAAGATATTCTTTATATCGTTTTTGTAACACTTGCCCATGTATAAAATTATTGTAATTCATGTACCTAATATTAGATTTTTAGCCATGGAAATACTCAAGGAAAATACTCAAGGCGTTAAGTAACATTAACACAATTAAACACAAAAACTATGATCATATATCTGTATTCATAGCAGACTTATCGCGTAAATTTGCTCTTTTGCACGGATATGTAGGAGTCACGCGCCCTTTTAGTAATTCACACTATTTTATAGAAATGTATGTGAGTACGTGTCAACACTCATTATATAATAAAACAGTAGAAAGCAATGGACGAAAACATGTAGCTTATAGAGATTTTACACTGACAGATATTTCTCAATAAATCTATTATGTGTGAATGCATATGTATAATAATAGCAAGATTAATCTCTTATTATAATTTCTAACAAAATGACGAACGTGAAAACATATTTTCCTCGAGCGTTATGACTAGAAATCTGGTTATCTTGATAAGTTTAATCGGTACATGAAATAGAATTTTACATAATTAGAATTTATATTTTATAAACAAAGAGCATTTCAGTGGCTGAAGGCTAAAAACAAGTTAAAAACATACTGTTATCGTAAACAAATGAATCCCAAATGAAGAGGAACTGTAAGGAAAAGTATCTACCTAACTTTGAAAAATGCGTATATACGCAAGGAAACGTATGAAAATCGAAACGTTTTAAGGCCTTTGACGTCCCTAAGGCACTCAGGCCGAGCCATTCCACCACAGGGGTGAGATAAACGCCGGCTGAGTAGGGGTCCCCGCCAATTCCGTATAAAACCGTCTCGCTGCTTCCGGCATATTTATTTCGATGAAAGGCCTCGCGGTAACGGCTCGTGCATTACGGTGACGAGCGCGCCTTCCGGAAACAAAAAGTCGGAAAAGCATCAGAATGAAGGCGTACCCACCCGTTCATTGTGCGCGAGCAGAATGGAAAAAACGAGACAACCGTGTTAAATCCCGACGACGAGCGCTCAAAGAACGTCAGAGTCGTCCGGCAAAGAGTCCTCCATTTATTTATGGACGGCGATAAGTCGTAGATTGCGAAGTACTGTGATTGCGGAGCAAAAGGAGACATCGAGTGCGCGGGCAATCGATTTAACGTTCTTATCACTGAAAAATATCGGTATATTCCGCGTGATATACGCGCGATCGACTATGCGCGTCAATTATTTCGAAGCGACGTACGCAACGTAAATCTACAATTTGTTTTTACTTTTCAACATAAATCAGATGTTAGTTCTTAAACAAATAATCCATTTCAATGTCAAGAGCTTAGAATTCGGAAAAGTTGCACATATTATAATATTCGAAGATGCTAATTAAATTATTTTATATTATATGTAAAGAAGATTACATATTATTGTGATGTACCCCGAGGTGCTTTCCGCTTGGAGTAAATTCCGACGTACGGACAGAGCGGCGCAAAGCATCGCTGCTGAATGCGAACATTAAACACATAGGATGGACTTACCCTATAAGCGCGTATGACCAATGAGCTCCCTATTCGACGGTGCGATCCTCCAGGCTCCTGTATTCGAGTACCTATTCGTCCTGCTTTATTCTATCCTCTTGACCAGGTGCGCAAGCGTTTGGCACAGCTTTCTTATTTAGGCGTGTATTCGGCCAAGTGGATCTGTAAGAAAACACGGGTCGCTCGGAGTTTACACTGACACACAT